TTCTGGGATATACCCTTTGGGTGGTTGATGATGCATGGAGGGGATTGGAACCATGGCAATGAGATGATATACAATGGAATGAATGTAAAACTAAAGTTCTCTCATGTAAACTATCATATAACTCACAATAAAACATTAAAAAAAAAAAAGAACCAATAGTATTGAAAGAAGAAGTGCAAGGTGCACTGAAGGCAGTGGTGAAAACATGGCTCCAGGAATTGGTGTATTACAAACTCTTTGAACAAAATGATGCAGCACTGGAGGCACTCATTCATCTATGTAAAGAAAACACAGCTTCCTGATCAACCAATTGGAAAAGATTCATATTTGTGCTTATTTCTAAGAAAGGTGACCCAAGGAATGCAGAAATCATCAGAGTATTATTAATATCAATTGCAAGTAACATTTTACTGAAGAAAATTTTAAAATGGTTACAGCAGTACATCAAGAGGAAACTGTCAGAAACTCGAGCTGGATTCAGAAGAGGATATGGAACTAGGGATATCATTGCTGATGTCAGATGGATCTTGGCTAAAAGCAAAGAAAACACTAACGTTTACTTGTAAAGACGCTCAACTGCATAGATCATAGCAAACTATAGATAGCATTGCAAAGCATGGATAATCCAGAACACTTGATTGTATTCATGAGGAGCCTGTAGATAGACCAACAGAAAGTCACTTGAACAAAATGAGGGAATGCTGAATGGCTTAAAATCAGGAAAGACTGTATCCTTTCACCATACTAATTTAATCAAGTAATTGAATTATATGAAGAAGAACGTGGCATTGGGATTAGAGGAAGACCATTAACAACCTGCGTATGCAGATGACCCAACCCTGTTTGCTGGAAAAAAAGAGGATTTGAAATATTTACTGATCACTGATGAAGATCAAAGACCACAGACTTCAGTATGGATTGCACCTCAATATAAAGAAAATGAAAATCCTCACAATTGCACCAATAAATAACATCATGATAAATGGAGAAAAGACTGAAGTTGTCAAAGACTTCATTTTGCTTAAATACACAGTCAAAGCTCATGGAAACAGCAGTCAGGAAATCAAAAACTTAGTGCATTAAGCAAATGTGTTGCAAAAGGACTCTTTGAAATGTTTAAGAGCAAAGAAGGCAATCTGAGGATTACGGTGCACTTAGCCATGGTATTTTTTTTTTATTATTACTAAGTTTTTATTGTGAATTGAGTGATAGTTTATGGGAGAACATCGGTTTTACACTAGTCATTTCATTGCAATGATTACAGTTTCCTCTGTGCATCATCATTCAACAGTATTTGCTTCTATTCCCTCGGCTTTGTTTTTCTTGGGGGAAGGGGGAATGTACACAAAAACACTCAAGAATATATAATCATTTAAACAACCAAAGGGCACATTCTGCAAACCTGCCTCCTGGCCACCATTCTATCAGTCTAGAGTCCTCAGCTGCTCTATCTCTCTGTGCCCTTATCGCTGCCTCTACCTCTGGTGTCACTGCTTCTCTGGATAAGGGCCCATCTTCCGTTTGTGCTCTCTCCTTTGATGATTCTAGGGTCCTCTGTTCCTGGGCTGTAAGATTAACTACTTTCCCCATTTTGTTACAAAACTTCTACCCTTACAGTGTGACAGTCGCAATCAGTCATGGTAACAATTATTCACTATTGAATCATAAGAATCTTATCCCCCTCTCTTGTCACCAGACCCATCTAGACAAAATGAAAACTATTCAGTGGGGATTCTATCTCCCCCCACAAACTGTGAAACTAAACTCCCTCTTGAAAACTTGTAAGCCAGTCACTTCATGGCTTTATGTTGTTGTTGTTAAGTGCTGTCAAGTTGGTTCCGACCCATAGCGACCCTGTATAGGGTTTCCAAAGAGCGACTGGTGAGCTTGAACTGCCAACCTTGCAGTTCAAATGGCTTTGCAGTCTACAGCACCACACCAGGACTCTTCATGGCTTTATAATCCCCTCATTTTAGGTTGTTGTTGTTGTTATGTGCCGTGGAGTCGGTTCCGACTCATAGAGACCTTGTACAGGGTTTCCAAGGCTGTAAATCTTTACGGGAACAGAATGCCTCATCTTTCTCCCGCGGAACAGTTGGTAGTTTCGAACTGCTGATCTTGTGGTTCACAGCCCAATTCATAACCACTATGCTACCAGATAACCTTTTAGGTAGCCAATGTCTAAGTTGCCTGTTCCTATCAACCCTGTAAACAGAGGGAATAGCATTGATACTTGATGTGAGGACTCCTTCCCTCTCAGTTGGTGTTTTGAGCTGATACATTCATAACAGGTCCAGTTCATCAAATTGTAGTAATTTACACTTGTTTCCTTTATCAAAAAAAATTTTTTTTATCTCCCTCTAGTGGAGTTCTGATCATCAAGCAATCGAAGCTAGGTTGAACAAGTACTAACTACAAGTTTGGGTGTTTTCATACGACTCCCCTTGCTTGTTAGAAATGAAGATTAAATTAGGACTAACACAAGAATAATCATAATAAATAATGCCTAAAGGGAACTATAGGGTAAAATGGAAGATAACGTCAACGATTTCTTAAAAAGGATTTGAAAGAGAGATAGACACAGAAGAAAGGCAAAATACAACTCCACATCAATGGCAATGTTATCCGCATCGAAGTCGAAGACAGTAAACCTGTATTCTTTGGGCATATGTTACTTATTGCATAGTGGTAAAACTATAAGAAAATGGGAGAAATTATAACAAAACTCAAGAAATTGGTTATTAGCAGCAGGGTGAGGGTATTTCACAGGAAAGGGTACTTAGGAACAGTCCAACATCTTGGCAGTTTTCTATTGTGGGATTATACAGGCTTAAAATTACACATTAAACTACATAAATATTCTATGTGGAATCCTGGTGTGACACTGTGGGTTAATGTGCTGGACTGCAAAGTCAGTTTGAACTGTAAGGTTGGCAGTTCAAGCTCACCAGCCACTCCTCAGAAACAGGGTTGCTACGGGTCAGAACCAACTCGACAGCACTTAACAACACTGTTTTGTGTAGTACTCTTTTTTAATCAGTTAAGTCCCCAATGCTTTATATACTTTTAGGAAATAAATTTTAAATACTGTAATACAAAATGTTACATTACAGTATTTAAATTTTTAAATATATCTCTTTTATAAAATAATGTGTCTAAATAGCCTAAACCAGTCAAATACTACAATATTGTTGTTTTAGGGCCATTTCATGAGTGTCAATTTCTCAAGCAAATGTGAGAAACTGAGAAAGAAACATTACTTCGTTCACTTACTTGGGCATATGCACTCTGAGTTACTTTTCTCAAGTCATCTTGAGCACCAGTTGTAATTCTTCCAAAGAAAATCTCTTCTGATACACGACCACCTAAAGTCATACACATCCTATCCAAAAGCTGCTCTTTGGTATACAGGTATTGTTCTTTGGGTAAATACTGAGCATAACCTAATCCTTTGCCACGTGGGATGATGGATACCTGGTAACAGAAAACATACAGAATAATCATTTTACTATTCATGTAGATTTGATTAAAATGTTTTCATTATCTACAGAAAAACTTACCATATCAGCGTATCAGTAGATTTAGCTAGCCACAATCATTGGACAATCCACCAGCATTGGCGAAATGAGATCTAGCAGCAGTGACTGTTAAGGATGAATATTTCTCTTACCTAACTTTACCTTACAGCTCTATAAAGTATTTCTTGTAGTTTATGTTTATGTGTGTGTGTGTATACATATACATATATATATATATATATATAGTTTTTGTTGTTAGGTGCCATCGAGTTGGTACCGACTCATAGCAACCTTATGCACACCAGAACAAAACACTGCCCGATCCTGGACCAACCTCACTACTGTTGCCACACTTCAGTCCATTGATGCTGCCACTTGGCCAATCCAATCTCGTTGGGGGGTCTTCCTCTTTTTCTCTGACCCTCCATCTTACTGAACATGATATCCTTTTCCAGCGACTGGTCCCTCCTAACAATATGTCTGAAGTATGAGAGACAAAGTTTGGCCATCCTGGCCTCCAAGGAGTACTCTTGCTACACTTCTTCCAAATGTATCTACTTGTTCTTTTGGCAGCCCATTGCACTTTCAATAATCTCCTTCAACACCGTAACTCAAAATCATCAATTCTTTTATATATATATATATATATCTGTATCATCAATATGAAGAATTTCTATTTTTATTTAGGTCATCATTAATTCACTGCAAAGGTTCCATAAATACTCTGTTTGCTCAACCTTTCCCTAAGGACTTCATAATTTTGGATACTATTATAAATGAAATGGAATTTTAAAATTTCACTTTCTAATTATTCATTGGAGTCCTGGTGTAGCACTGTGGGTTAACGCGCCAGGCTTCAAAGCTGTTTGAACTGCAAGGTCGGCAGGTCAAACTCACTAGCTGCTCCTTGGAAACCATATACAGGGTCACTATGGGTCGGAATCGACTCGATGGCACTTTATAAAAACAACAATTACTCATTAGAGTCCTGGTGTGGCTCAGTGGCTTAATGCTGCAAAGTCAGTTTAAACCACAAGGTTGACGGTTCAAGCTTACCAGCCACTCTTCGGAAATTCTACATAGGCATTCCTTGGGTTGTAACTGATTCAACAGCACTTAACAACAACAACAACAATATATCTAAATACAACTGATCTTTGTACACTGACTTTGAATTCAGCAACCTTGCCAAATTAACTTACTAGTTCTTTGGATTTTTTCTGTAAACTCCTTAAGATGTTTTAGGTGTCTTTTAACACTGTCTTTTCTGTTCAGGGGACCCTCAATTTTTGGCTGTCCTCTGGCATCTCAAATCAGTAAGATTTTCACTTTTTATTGTCTGTGCTGCATCAGTTTGTAGAATATACTCCATTAAAACAATTAGGGGAAACAAACAAGATGGTGGATCAGGTGGAAGTGCAGTAAGGAGCTCCATCAGCAACAACACAGAATACAGCACCATAAAGGCTCAGGAGATGGTCCCAGAACTCTGAACCACTTACAAAGGAATATTTAGAAGGCTGGAAGGCTTACATCTAGGGGAATTTGCAGCAGAAGAAAGAAATACATTGCTTTCTAATTCAAGACGCTCAGCTTCTCCAGGAGTTGCCATCTTGGGTAAGACAAAGTGGGGGAAGGATCAGAGCAGCCACGAACGCCTAATAGAATCACAGACATAAAGGTGTGGACATTCTTTTCTTTTGGTATTTGTTCATTGGTCCCTGGCTGTCTGCGCACCTCCATTCTGGTGACTATAGGGGTGCCTATACTAGGTGAGCTAGTAGACACTCCAGCCCCACCCTCGGAGAGGTCTACCACGCATATGCACAGATCTCCTCGAAATTTAAAGAGACAGTTTCCAATTAAAACCAAAAGGCCACAGCCGGCCCTGAACTGTTTATAACTAGAAAAAAAGGCCTGAACGGGGATTGTGGAGAGGGACAGGCAGAAAAAAAGGAAATAGGCTGAAAATTAAATCCTAAGTTACGTCAAAATGACCAACAGTGGCATCTTGAAATTTCTCAAGAAGAAGAGTGAAAAGGGAAGCCCATTTCCTGATCACATCTAGCTGGAGGCAATCAGAAAGCATAATAAATACCAAAATACACACCCATCTAAGTATTAAGGCCACAAATAACCCCTGAATATGCCTAAAAAACAGAAGCAGATGACCATATCTGCACATGTCCAGAAACGAGATAAAGTGACTGAGGCAAATGAGCTGGAAGTAGACCTACATTCCATACTGGAAGATGGGCAGGCTTTGGAAATACCGGAGAAGGAATTCAGAAAAATGATTACAAAATGTATCAAAACACTATATAATGGAGTTGAGAAAAATAAGGAAGAAGTCAGGAAAGCACTACAGGAACAATCAAATAAAATAGATAAAGCATTGGAAACAATTCAAAACCTACAGAAAGAGGTCTAAACTATTAATAATAGAAATATCAGAAATAGACAATACACTGAAAGAGCAAAGGAGTAGAATTGAAGAGATAGAAGCCAGAACTAATGAGCTAGAAGATAAATCTCTCAACACTACTAAGATAGAAGAGCAAACACAAAAAAGGATAAAAAAAAAATCTGAAGAAGGTCTAAAATTTATGCTGGACAACATGAAGAGGAATAACAAGAATTATTGGCATTCCAGAACAGGAACAATCACACAAGTTCACAGAGGAGATAGTAGAAGAGCTTCTGATGTTTCCTATCATAAAAAGTGAAAAGATAAGCATTCAAGAAGGTCAGCAAACCCCAGGAAGGATAGAGCCTAAAAGACAATCACCAAGACATATAATAATCAAGCTCTCCAAAATCAAAGATAAGGACAGGATCTTGAAAGCAGCTAAGGAAAAGAGAAATATAACATACAAAGGCAAGCAAATCCGACTAAGCTCGGATTTCTCAACAGAAATCATGCAGGCAAGAAGGCATGGGGAGACATATATAAAACCCTGAAAGAAAAAAACTGCCACCCAAGAATCCTCTACCCAACAAAGCTGGCAATCAAATACGATGGTGTAATCAAAACATTCCAGGATAAACAGACGCTAAAGGATTTTGCCAAAGCCAACCCTGCTATGAAAAACATCCTAAAGAAAGTTCTGTGGACTAAGAGCCAACAAGAACACACAACAACTAAAGAATGACATCCGTGGCAGCATCACCCTGAACTCAATCGACAAATGGAATTGTCAAGAACAGAATAAAATTGTAAGAACAGAGGATCTGGGAGGTCAGTCTATGATCAATACAATTACAATGTGAAAAGAGGTAAACACAAAGGAACAGAGATCCAGGTGGTGGGAAGGTCAGGTAGATTACAGAATAAAATAGACTGTCTTAAATGGAGGGTAGAACTAATGGAATATAAGGTAACCACAATGGGATTGGGGTGGGGGGTTTACTTTGGGTGTTGGGGAGGGCAATAC